CACTTGCAGCCAGCATTGGAGTTCAACCATGTATGCCTAGGGCCAATGCGCCAGCACCCACTCCTGAAGCATACAGGATAAATCTTACTACAGCTTTTCTAGTCCATTGTTCTCAGCACATTGAAAGGCGTTTTCAAGACGAGGTGTACAGCTGCTACAAATGACTTTTCACCTCATCTGTAATGCTTGAAAATCTAGCCTCATGGAAGGCTAATGTAAGAGAATTTTGTAATTACTATAGCAGGCAGAGGCAGAGGCAGAACGGGTTATGTGGGAAAGGCTGTGGAGAGATCAACAGAACGGAGGTAGAGTAGCTGATATTCCAGACAGAGGCATTGGCAGTTCTTGACCAGCAAGCCTTTTGTAATATCTTCACAATATTGCAACTTCTTGCCACTGTTCCAATTTCCTCAGCTACATGTGAACGGTCCATCTCAACTCTCAGATACATAAAAACATATCTTAGAAATAACATGACACAAGATAGATTGAATGGACTTGCCCCGATGTATGTCCACAGGTACAAGCATATCAACTTAGATCAAGTGATTGAACTGTTTGTCCAAATGCACCCTAGAAGAATGAGAATGGCTGACATTTTGTAAGGCAACCCATAAGCAAGTTGTCTTATATTGTCAGTTTTTTACATCAGTAGTCTTTTTTGTATGATTGAACCTGCTTCCTCTCTAATTAATACATAAGAAATCACACAATATTGTGACTATAATTGGGGATCAGGAAGCTGTGAACTTTTATTGTTATGTTACCTGCCTATTTTGGACTGTTGAGTAATTAAATTCTCTGAAAATGCAGGAAATGGCACTTAGAGAGCTACTAAATTCCAAATTTTCTCTGAGGAGGACCCCCTAACCCCCTAATCAGGGTGTGATCGGGGGCTGGCACTATTCATTTTAAAAGCTGGATTAACCCCTGACGTGTAGCTTAAAGGAACCTTTCTGTCCCTGTGTTCAACAAAACAAACTTTTGTTTTATGAATACAGAATTTATGAACATAAAATGAAGTTTACTGAAGTTTACTAATGCATTCAGTACAGAATGAGAAAAGGGAACATAACAAAACTATGAGGAACAAATTTGACGATCTCAAGTGACTTTGAACGTAATTTGATGCACCTATAAATACAGTTATGCCTTTCTAACTATCACTAGCTTATTATCAATCGAATTAGAAGCCTTACATCATCCTATAAGGTTCCAAACACGATATCATTCAATTTGGGAAACGTTGATGATGATAGTGATAATCAGAATGATGATGGTGATAATGAAGATGATGGTTACAATAATAAGGATGATGGTGATGGTGTTGAATGCTGATGATATTAGCCGTGCTGGTAGTGGCATTAAAATTAAGGCGATGGTTTGATCACATCACATTCAACATGTTCATTAATAAATAGTAAAATGGCAACTGGTGATTTTCCATTTCATTCCATTCCAATGTGATCAAAATAACGTTATTTAAAGAATATAAAACGAGCGCGAATGTCTTTGTGCTGTGATATAAACACGCTGGGAGCTGTAGAGCAAAAGGGAAGCTAGCATAAAAACATTAGCTTGGGTGCTCTTGACAGCCGCCAGTATGTTTATATCACAATCCAGTGGAACACGAGCCACTCTGTGGAATCCACTGTTAATCTCATTATTTATGTATATATTTATTTACAATACACACGTATGAGCAGCCGTTTTATATTGCTTTTATAAAATATTTTTCAACGATTTTGCTCTGTCCTCTGATATAAGGACAGTAAATAGCCAATAATCGCGCGCGTTATATTTCAAATATTTTTTTCGAATGACCATATTTAAAGGTATCCTTTACCATATTTAAGAGTATTCCTTTTCTAAAAGACCATATCTAAGAGAGAATCCTTGACCATATTTAAGAGTATTCTTTACCATATTTAAGAGTATCCTTTTTAGAAATGACCATATTGATAGGTTCCCTTGACCGTATTTAAGAGTATGCTGTTTTCAAACGACCATATTTTAAGAGTATCCTTTTTTGAAATGACCGTATTTAAGAGTATCCTTTTTTGAAATGACCATATTTAAGATTATCCTTTTTTGAGATGACCGTATTTAAGAGTATGCTGTTTTCAAAAGACCATATTTAAGAGTATCATTTTTCAAATGACCGTATTTAAGAGTATCCTTTTTGAAATGAAAATTACCTAGCGTATGCAAATCTTCAAGTAGATCCCTAGTGCACGTAAATGATGCAAAATTAACGATACGGAACGCATGCGGCAGTGAGGTTATCAGCTCACAATGTTCAATTAATCACGGTCCGTGAAAAGAACACGCTAGGTGTTAATTTTTAAGCTTATTAATAACATTTTTCCTTTGTTCAGTTGTTTCCTAAATAAAACAACTAACACTCTATTTCAAAATACTTGTTTTATTTCATGCAAATTTTACGAAATACGTTTTCTACATTATAAAGTCATGCCTGCAGAACTTTCAAAATTGCTCTAATTCAGTGGCTCAAAGCATCTATATTTCCTCAAATAGGGAGATATGGCGCTCGGTTAAAAATGTACGTAGCTCAATTACCATAGGAAGCATTTACCTTGGGTGATGCCATATAAACGTAGTACATTTGTAATCTTTCAGGTGCTTGAATATATGTTCTACCTTCACACGTTTGCGCGAAAGTTGAACTTTCTCGCCCGTCGCCTTTCTCCGTTGTTTCTCATTCGTCTGATCTGTGCTTGCCTGAAAGGCGTAAGCAAAGTAGGGTCATCTGTGTAGCCTTTATCAGCCAACAACACAAATCCAACAAGCGGCCAGGTACTACGGGCTCCATAAGCCGAAAAGCCTGAGAATCATGCATGCGCCCTAGAAATCCTGCTTGAAGGAATCGTATGTACCCTTTGTTATCGCATATTAGTTGATTGTTTAACAGATGAAAATGCCTAGGGCCGCTGTAAAACTCTCGCTGTGGTTCTGTAGAAGGGATTTGATTTTCGGAGTAGCATCGACACAGCCAACTGCATTAGGGAACTCTGGCCATTTATTACGCATTTGATTCCATTCCATTATATTTGGGCCTGGAAATGCCGCCATAGAATCATAACGCCCTGATAAATATGGGCAGATACGGTTTGAGGGCTTATATCGAATAGAAGAGCTAAGGTATGTTCATGCGTATATTTCATGAGCCACATCAAAACAAAAAGTAAGCGGGTAATTGAGTTAATCTTAAATCAGCCCATTCTTCGCCTTAAATTACCACGCCTTGTCAACAGCAAGAATTCCAATGCAGTTTGTCTTGGTATTTCTAGAAATGTTTCAGGAATTTCGGCAGTGCTCAACCAGAAAAGGTATGGTTGATTGCAGATGAGTGTGAAGACGTCACGCCCAGCAAATACGTGACCATGAAAATTGTAAAAACGTCTGTCTCTAAGCGGCAATTCAATCATCAAAGGAGGATTGATCGACGTCACAAACTGTAGGAATTAAAGTAAAGTGAATTAAAAATTAAAAATTAAAAATTGAATACCATCATTAACAGTCGAACTTCTGCAGAGTGATCAGTGTCCAAAGGAGGCGGGACCAAACTTAAGGCGTAAATCATTTGACTAGAAGCCATAAGAAACATAGAAAACTGTCGCAAAAGTTGACCTTCCATCTTGACCGCAGCTGAATTAGAAGTCAACAAAACACAACCAAATGCATTCTTTATGGCCACAAAACTGTGTTCGCTCGATCGTGGTATTGGAATTTGCAAAAAAAATGCGAAAAGAGAAAGACCATTTGGAGACCATTCGACGAGCCGGCACAAAATGGACCAAGAACAACAACAAAAAAAGAAAATGTGCGTGAAAGTGGGAGAAAACGAGAAGAGGCTCGTCCTGAATGCGTATACGCAGTCTGGTCATGGGGGGTGGAATGCCGTCTACAGCACCCTCAAGGAAAATATCGAGCAGCTACCTCTAAATTCTAGAGTCGTAGACCACTATCTTGAAACAGGAGAGTCGACGTGTATTAGAAGGATGCAGCGAATAGTGCGGGAGGAGACGAAACAACTTGCTGTTGCCCAGCCAAGACGCCAGAACCATCAAGGAGATAGCTCTTCAGAGTTGGCGAAAAACGTGGTTGCGTCTCAAATGCACTATGCAAAGAAGCGAAAGCCAGAGGAAAGAAAGGAAGAAAAGTTTGTGCACTTCGAAAATTAACCCTCCTCTGACGAATAGGAAGCTTTAGCTGTCGAGGAGCCGCCAAAAGAAAACGAAAGAAAACTAAAACTGTGAGAGAGTCGACTATGGCAGCACAAACGGCTGACACCGAAATGTGCAAGAAAGCCACGAAGAGCATGGCCGTTAGATCTAGGGTTCTTGAGAAGCTTGACAGAAAAATTATTTCGTAAAATGTGCATGAAATAAAACAAGTATTTTGAAATAAAATGTTAGTTGTTTTATTTAGGAAACAACTGAACAAAGGAAACATGTTATTAATAAGGTTAAAAATTAACACCTAGCGTGTTCTTTTCACAGACCGTGATTAATTGAACATTTTGATCTGATAACCTCATTGGCGCGTGCGTTCCGTATCGTTAATTTTGCGTCATTTACATGCACTAGGGATCTACTTGAAGATTTGCATACGCTAGGTAGTTGTGCGGAACAACTCTATTGAATGCATAAAGAATCTAAAATCAAACATAATGATAAATTGATAATGAAACACCAAAAACAATATTTAATTTTCAGCTTTTTTAAGGTTTAGACAATCTTCATGTATAGCAAAAACATACCCAACCTCTAAAATCTAATTTATGCTTCTAGGTTCTGGATTATGAAGGTTTTTATGTTTGGAAAATCAGAAACCGTGCATGCCTGAAATGGACTTCGGTTCACTGGATTGTGCAGGTGGAAACCCGTTTTTACCCTGAATTTGCAGCTTTTATCCTATATTTTTATCTTAGTATTCATAACCTATGATTGTATACCGAAAGTATGTAAAAAATCAAGATGAAGGATGGGGAATGGAATCTAGATAAGATACTTGTTCTGCTACGTGAGGAGGTAAAGAACGGAGAAAAATGCAGGGAGATCCAGGCACTAAGCTTAGGTGAGAAAAAACAGGGACACAGTATGAATCCTAGCCTAGAAATAATATGACCACCATGGCAACCGAGAAAAAGGACAATTGCTCCTATTGCAAAGGCAATCACACATAAGCGAAATGTCCAGTGATAACTAACGCTAAAGAAATTTTGAGGAAAGAGGGACCATGTTTTACATGAATACAAAGAGAAAGAATAGAACTGGAAGCTTAAAGTAAATACTACCCTGGGGCCAAGAGGTTATTGCATTCTGCATTCTCACTCCAGCATTTACTGTGTTGAGTAGCCGTGAGGAGAAATAACCTCTGGGCGAAAGCGTTAATCCTTTGAATCCGCCGAACCAATCAGAGACCTATATTGTGTTTCCGAGTCAAAATCTGATCCTAGCCTTCTGATTGGTTAACGTGTGATAGAGCGTTTTGATTGGCTAATAAGATAAAACAGGTTTTTCGAGTTTGTGACGTTCTGTGACGTTAATCCCTGACAACATTATACGAATAAGTGAATATGGCGTACGAGAATGATTTTTATTAGAGATTTCAATCGCTTTGCTCGAGACTTTGAGGTATAAATTTCCAGAAATAACAAGAAATAACAAGAATATCGTTGATATTCGAAGTGATTCCCGACATCTGTCGTCGTCTGAGCTATCGAGGGCTTCCCTATCCCTCAAAGCCGATTTTAATTGTCATATGCCCGTTACTGTCGTTGGTGGAATCCCACATAAAAGAGTTTGGCTCTCGTCACATATCTTKTGAACACGTATCCGGAGAAAACGCGGACAAAGAAGGCATTAAAGCTGGAAAGTACAACGTCGTGTTTACCAGCCCCAAAGCTATCATATTAAACAAAGAATGGAGTGATATGCTTCGATCTAGGAAGTACCAGGAGTCCCTATTTGGAATAGTCACTGACGAGGCTCATGTTGTGCCTAAATGGTATGTCATCTTTCTTTTTTTAATGGTATTGGAATTTCCTTCGTCATCCTTGTTAAAAGTATCTAACATGGATCCAGAGTTTATTCATTATTCTTGGTCATACTGTACAGTATAAAAGATGAATCAACCAATATAATTGCACTGCTCAGCCAATAACATTGTGAAAACTCTGTATTGAACTCACATAGAAATTAGTAATTACTCAGTCCTTGTGATTTTAGTTGTAAAAGTATCTACTGAATTTTTAGTAGACTGATATGGTTAAACCACCAAAAGTCATTCTCACCCTTTAAACTAATTTCATTCCATAGGGGTTATAGTACCAAGAAAGAGAAATCTGCTTTACGTGAATGTTTTGGCAAGCTGGGTGAATTGAGATCTCTAGTGCCTCAGCCAACTCCAATATTGGCATTAACAGCAACTGCCACACAACAGACAAAGGATGTTATCATGGCATCATTAACTTTACGTCCAGATATGGCTCAGTTTTACAAGAGTCCTAATCGGCCAAACATATACTTGTACAAGAAGCAAGTCACAAAACGTATAGAATCCACATTTCAGTGGTTGGTCGAACTCATTAAGGACAATGGCAGAGAAACCCCAAAGACCATTGTTTACTGCAAAACCCACAAAGACTGTGGTAAACTGATTAAGCAAGTGTGAACTGGGTGGCCATGCTTATGGTTCCTTAGAGAAAAACAGCGAGAGTATGTACCACCACAACACCCTCAGAAAACATCAAGAACGAGTCCTGAACTCATTGCTTGCCCCAAATGGCAATTGCAGAGTTGTATTTGCTTCAGCGGCACTGGGAATGGGGGTAACATCAAAGATGTTACAATGGTAATACACTATGGCCCACCTAGGCAGATAGAAGACTTCATTCAGGAAATTCGGAGAGGTGGAAAAGATATGCTGCCTGCTAAGGCCATACTTATATTTACTGCCAACCACCTAAAGAGATGTGATGAGACAGTGAAGAATTATGCAAAAACGTCTGATACTTGCATGCGAAAGATCCTCCTTCAAGATTTTGACAAGATGGCATCTGATTTCAAGTCTGTTGATACTCATGGTTGTTGTATAATCTACCATATCAAGTGTAAATGTGACAATGACAAGTGTATGCTACCAATCTTGGATGTAAGTCCTTGTGACAAGAAAATTAGTTTGTCTGATCGAAAGAAAAGAACAGTGTCAGAGGAGCAGAAAGATTTGCTGAAAGAAATGTTGGAAGAATATAAAGATTTAGAAGCCGCTCAGTGTGAGTCCTACTTCCTGCCTCCAGAATCCTGCACAGGTTTTACAAGTTTACTTGTCAGTTCTGTTTTGAAGATGTGCCAATACATTTTCATCCTCAATGATGTACTAGACATTGTTCCTGTTTACAAGAAAGACCATGCCATGGTGATTTTATTGATGATAAATGATGTTTTCCAAGATGTACAAGTAGACCATGGCACTGTAGGAGCATCAACAAAACCTACAGCATTTGAACATGACTGGAAATGTGGGGGGGATGTACGAATCCTCCGAAGAATCAGATGCAAGTGGTGGCTCTAATGACTCAATTATGTCAGGATTGTCTGGACTTTCTTGGGACTGAGGTAATGATCTTTATTATATGGCAAGGTAACTTCGCGTGCTATGATTGGTCGATCTTATTAACCTAATTTGCTCAGTCCGTACCGTAAGTTATGGATCCTAATTTTTTTCAATTTTTATGACCCTTGCACTTGGGCCCTTGCAGTGGAAAAAACTTGGTCCATAACTTACGGTACGGACCTCGCACTCAGTTATTAAGAGCTTTATATTTTTCCCTTGACATTAATATGCAAAAGGCTTTTTAAATAATTAATTAAATTGATAAGGAGACAAAAGTATACAAGCATGTATTACTGTTTTAAATAATTTTAAATAACAATTTTTATAATTACATCAACATAGAAGACCAGCATCTATGTGTAAATTCTTAGAATTCTTTCTTGAAGAATTATTGTTCAAAAGACATTATGAAAATTGAAGGGAACAACAGCAACACAGCATATGACTGTCTATATACCATAAGTGTTAATTGAATTTGCTTGTAATTTCTTACAGGTACACAAATCAGTTATAAATCGACTACTTTAACGTATTCATGTGGTCATTCACTATTTATTACTACTACTAAGGTAGTGCTGCATACCATCCATTCATGAATGGCCCTATAGAGCATTTTCATATGGCATCAGTAGGGCTATGCTGAAGTACCAATATGGCTTCCTAATAAGCCTTTTCATAGTTTAAGAATCGATTCCACTGCGCATGCGATTTTATCCCGAATTTCTCACCTTCTTTTGTTTAATTAAGAACAAAAGGAGGTTTAGACAAAAGAAGGTGAGAAATTCGGGATAAAATCGCATGCGCAGTGGAGTCAATTCTTAAACTATGAAAAGGCTTATTTCCATGCCCGTCAAAATTCTCTATTAGAGTGCAAATACCTTAATGATAAAGCTCTGAAATAAACTGTTATAAATTCATATTACACTGAAAGAGTACAAAGTATTGTTTGTTACAATTTTGAGTCTTTGAATATGTTGAAAATATTATGTACTTATTGACTGAGTGGGAGGGCCGTACGGGAAAATATTTGGCTCGAGGTGATGCCGTACGGACCAAGCGCAGCGAGGTCCGTACAAATGACCGAGAGCTAAATATTTTCCCGTACGGCCCGACCTAACTCAGTCAATAAGCATTTTATCATATGACCCTCACGAAAAAATCAATAAAAAATAAAAGAAAGAAAGAAATAGTAAATAAAAGCTAAAAAAGAGAAAGAGCGCGGATTCGAGCAGGGCCGGACGGGTTTTTCCGGCCCGCTTACATCAACCCGTCCGGTCCCCATCACGTGACTTTTTCCAATGGTTTTATTAGAGCGCACGAGCAGGACCATACGGGTCACATGATAATATTGTTGACGTGCTCAGAGCCTCAGATCTAATGAGATATTTCTTCCAGGCCCCCCTCCCTTGTTATTGACTTTGCTTGAAACCATACCACTCCATGGAGATCAACTGTTTGAGGAAAGATCTAGAAATGTAATATGGACCTACCAGGATGGAGACACACCTTAATGAGCGTATAGAAGGAAATGATACAGAGTTTGCAGTTTGGCATGCCACGTATACTCTTTACAAGGCGATTGTTTGATTGTTCATCAATAAATCATGCTGTTATTAAGTAAAATATGTCAAGTTTATACTATAAAGATAATTATCAATATTTTTTATTACAGCTGGAATACAAATTGTTCGTAAACCACTCCTCTGCTGGGGAAGAGCCACAACAAAAGCAAGTATTAACCGTACAGGGAAAACCAATTCTGCAAAAGGAGTTGAGAATCACTATAATGAATCAATATATCTGTATCAAACGTCATGACACTGACATATATCCTGATTTGAAATGTAAATGTATGGGGATGTGGCTACAGTTCACCTTCCTCATTGGACCCATACACAGATTGATTCTAATTACAATCTAATTACAAAAACATTGTCATACACACAAGAAAAGAAAATAGTGGAACATATTTTCAAATAAAATTATGTAAGCTGAAATTAGATAGACTCGATTGTGGAAAAAGTACTAAAACACTTTTTTGAGAATAGATGTAAATTTTTATCTTTCTATCTTTAATTCCTAAATATGATTATGATTGTGTGATGCATTTGCATTTTCTTTTATGTTTGTAACAGCAAAGCCCAATCCAGTCTTGTTTTACCTGATGCAACAGTATCACGCAATACTAAGGCAAAATGGCTACACAGCCCTCAACCAATCTAGATTGGAATGTCGAGGAGAAGGCTGTTGTGCTAGTTTCGTATACCATTCCGGCAGAGTAAGGTAAAGGGCAGAATTAATAAAAAAAAACAAATAAGGCATCTTTTCTTTTAATATGCGAAGAAAAAGTAAAACGGCCAGCAAGTCGCCACCATAACGTAACTGTTTTACTGCCTGTCTCTGTTCTTGTTTCAACTCGAAACAAAAACCACCATTCGATTCAAATAAATCTAAAACGTTGCTCAAAGCACTAGAAAATTCTTCAGTATGGTCCGCCATATTGGCGATACTGTCATTGGCAAGTCCATACGATCGATCGATACCTGATTGATTGCTGTCTATCAAAAATATTAAAGCCAAGCCAATCAGAAGCTTTCGTTCGCCCACGAACGAGTTCTTCAAAATAACAAGGGATGCTGGCAGGCGTTCCCTTCTTTCCTCTCCCCATCCCCCCACGTCCCCTTTTTTTGCTAGGTCCCATTTTTCTCGCGGGCCCTGATCGACCATGTGCCCCATCAGTATACTGACAACCACACCCATAATATGGTACTGCCAAAATTGCAGAATGTTGCCTGAATTCAAGCACTCGAAAGGCAAGTTCCAATCAACCAAGAAAGAAATAGCACCTTTTAAAGCCTTGATCCTGGATGATATCTGCATATGCAAGAGCAAGGCAAAGAATACAACACGGGGTCGATTTCAATCGACGAAATTTTATCAAGATAACGCCGTTTCACTCGAGTTTCCAGCTTCTTGACATACTCAGAGTTATTGAAGATAAATTGTCGCTAAACTTGGGTTACGCCCATAGCCAATTACTCCAAAGATTTGTGTTGTTCATTGGTTGTCCAGTAAACGAGCTGCAGGAATAGCGACTTTCAATGCTTGAAAAGGGTATCTTGAATCAGGGAGAATATAAAGAAGAAAGCAGAAGAAGAATATATAGATGCTGTAAATATACTTCTACTACAAACAATATCAATACTAGGTATTGATACTATATATTAGGTAACCCTAACCCTAAGGTATTGTTTTAATTTAACGAAAAGTAGCCTGTTGTAGGATCTGTGCTAAACCGAAAAGTATTCCAAAAGTACTCCAGTATTTTGAGGAGTATATCTAAATTTCTTGAAGAATTTAGAAAATAAATAACGCTAAAAGGTAATACGTATACTTTCTTTTTAAGTACAACTGACTTTTTGACAATGCATGATGTGATAACCATGGATCCTCCTATGAACTAACCTTTAATTAATTTGTTGATGTGATCGTATGAAAAAAATTAAGGGCAAATTATTCCATTACACTCTAATTTAAAAGGGGACTAGTAGGAAAATCGTCCAAAATAAAATGCGGCTTACACTTCAATGGAATAGTCTTTATATTTTGGTGTTTGGCTCTCCTGAATGCGTTTTGTCTTTTATGACATCGAGAGGTATCTTCAGCGCTCCAGGCTTCAAGGAGATGTTGATTGGCTTTGTGATAGAAGAAGCTCTTTGGTTAATTTAAATTATTACATTTTAATTTTGTCTTGCCTTGTAGCTGTGTAAAAACAGCGAGTTCATGAATATAGGACTGTAAAAGGTAGATCAGATTCTCCGTTTTTTGAACTAGGGGATCTGATACACCGTACCATGCATAATAATTGTTTATACATTTTGACTCTACAAGTGAGAATAATTTAGAATTATTTGTCTCTAGATATCCAATACTAAAGATGAGGTATGCATTTGCATAATGATTGAAGGTTTCTGTGGTTTACAGGGGGCTGCCAGGCACAAAGAAGGTTCCATTTAGGAAGTGGTATGGCTGCTTAGGAGAACTGAATGCTGTAGTCC